ACAATTCGATTACGATTCAGGGGCTACGATTCGATTATAAAACGATTATTGATGCATCTTTAATTTATGTATATTGATGCACTTTTTCACAACACACATTTCTTTTTGTCTCACTGAATAAGCATTCAACACTTGCAAATTTTAAAAACAGTGCATTTGTAATAAGAAACAGTTGAATTCATTTCCATTATATTTTATTAAACATATAAATGGAAATGTGTGCAAACTGGAAAGTTACAACTTCATTGTACGGAACCAAAGGTAACAACAGGTATCTTAAATCACAAGATAAAATGTGCAGTTAGAGTAACAAATGATTTGGTGGCGACAGACGTCCACGCATCACATGTAACTGCGGTCCTACCTGCCTTCAACAGCGAGGCTATGACTTCTGTTTTGGTTTGATGGTAGAGTGTCGGTGAAATAGCGTCAGGATGGGATGGTGTATCTGGGCTCCAGTGTATGCAACAGAATAAGGACGCAAATCCTTGGCAATAAATGCCGCGATGGCCTTCGTAATTCGCGTCGCCTTTTCCGATGAGGGTGGCAGCTTTCTAATTGCTTCCTCAATTGTTCTCTGGTCGGTAGCGCCACTAGTTGCCGCAGCAACAACAGCCTGCCGCCTCCCTGACTCCTCCGTCAGGTGGAATCGAGTTACATGGCTTCTCATGTTTGTTGTGTTGCCAAAGTATTTTATTTTAGCACGACACAGCTTACATATAACGTGGCTCTTTTCGAGTTCGCTTCCGCCTCCGACGTTGTAGAAGCCGAAGTATTTCCACACATCTGCTTTTAAATTAGAAGAAGCTGTTCAGCTCTCACGCCGAGGTGGGTAGCGGTCAGCCATGTTTGTTTTCCTCTGTGCGCGTGTCGGCGTGTCTGCTCCAGGTGCGCATCCCAAAGTGTCCCGGAGATGACACGTACCGCGCTTCTTAGTTCCGCATTATTTAGAAACTTCTGTATTACTCTAATTAACAGATTTAAATAATCGAAATTTGGACGTTTGTGAATCGATTCAGATTCGTCCACGTCTGAATCGCAATGCATCGGAAATTTCCCCCACCCCTAGGAAACATAATTTGTAATTTAAAAAAGTCTTGCAATACTCAGCACGACCCAAACATAAAATTTTAATAATATTGAATCGTGACTTAAGTAACGTGATAATACCTTATCATGGGGCCTCTAGTGATTCCCATTCCCTGTCTGGAGAACTTATTTTAGCATATATAAAGTCGAATTTAACCAAAAGTTTCTGAATCAATAAAATGACAGGGAGAGAAAATATAAAAGCAGAGTAGAGAAGTTAGTTAGAGATATGCTCGCCTCTTTGTTTCCACAGGCTGATTGTCGATCTTTCTCTCGCAGAGATGACTGGTCCTGACCTCCTCTCTATCCCATTTTTCTCACGTTGTTTTTGGCAGTGCGCTCACTGAGCTGAACTAAACACAAATAACACAAGAGGGAGGAGAGGAGGTGGAGCAGGAGAGGAGACTGGAGGAGAGGGATGCTCGCTGTGTGATGGTGGCACAGCAGTGATAAGCCGCCGCTCTGACATTTAAACAAGTGTCAGGGTCGAGGGGGTCAGATGACTGGAAACAATGCGTGACTAGATCAGGGCGATGTGTCGATTTCGCTTTGTTACCGGGAGCGCAGACGCACGCCGGCCCATAAGGCTTCAATACACCCTGCTTGGCTCGTTTATGCTTTGATACCTGCTCACCTCTCAGGAGATAGTGAGATGGGGAGAGATGTGGAGTTGCAGCGGCAGAAATGATGTTTTTGTGTTGTTTCTCTTCTCCTCAACTTGTCTTTCAAACACTAAAGAACTGTAATTTTCTCTTCAAGGTTACTCAGTCCTTCTCCTCACACTCTTACTTCCTCTTTGTAAGCATCCTCCCCTCCGTCCATCTCCCTCTCTCTCACTGAGCAGGACGCTCCTCTCCACTCATAAAATACGTCTGCTTGTATTTGCTTTTTGGCATCTCAGCAGCGCTGCATTCCAGGAGGGTGACTTATGGGAAACATTGTCTCCCACACAACACAGTGCTTAACTGAGCGGGTTTTTTTGTGCTGTGCATAACTCAGGTCAGCTGAACACTTAGAGGGATAACCTGCAACGGAGCCCAGTGTATTTCTTCCAACTAGTGGCACCCCTACAATGTTTTCATGATGGTGGCCGTATAGGGCCACTGAAAGATTTTGGGTTGGCACACCAAAACTAAAATCCATAACTGAATTTCAGAATTTTGCTTATGCTGTTGAAGTAGTAGTTTGCTTTGGTTTCTTATTATATAGCTAATTTTTACAAATTATCTGATGTGTATAGACTTATACCAGTAAAGTTAACATTTGAGTTCCACAACCATGTTACCAACATGTTGGGAGATTAATTGTTCTTCATATAGGCTGGTTATCCTTTACCTTAAAAAGACAAAAGACCGACATTGAAGGTACATGCATTGTAAGGAACAAAACATTTAATGGGAACTAGCCTTTTCAAGGTTAGGGAAGACTCTTGGGTACACATACAACACATTTTCATCCATATATCTTGAAGTGAGAGTTTAAGGGAGCCTTTTGAAATTGCGATGCAAATTGTGGCATTTTCATGTGATTTTTTGTGAGAAATTGCGGCAAGTGACAAAAATTGAGGCTAATGACAAAAGGAGGAAAAAAAGTGCTTTTTTAAAAACTACTACCTCCAAAAAAATAAGTAATGTAATCACTAGCTATAATAATCATACTGAATATTACAAAAATAGCTGCAAATGTTTTTTTTTTTTTTTTTATAGTTCTCTTCTTTAGTTTTATTTAATTCGTTTCAAAACATGGACTCCAATAATGTTGCAAAAGAGTGAATATTGTAGCTCTCAAACCAGAAAATGTGACTGTAAAACAACATGTAAGCTCTTCCAAGATCTTCTGTAAACATAACATTTTAATACATTCAACACATATTGTATGTATTTTAACAGTGCAAATTCTTATGTCAATACAGAGTGTTTCTCCATACTGCAATACCATTAGTGTGATTTGATGACGCGTCTGATGACGTTTCAAATGAAGTAGCATGCGTGACGACTTCAGGTCAGCCGGAAAATGTGGAAAAAGCAGAAAAATCAAGGGACTTTTGAATAATTGCAAGGCCCCGCAAGTATTGAGGACTTTTGTTGAATTTGCGTTAATTATTACAATCGCAAGATAGCGATTTTCTGAAGGGACTGAATAGTAATGGAGCAATTGGGGGACCAGCAATTGGATAGGAAGTTACTGTTCCACCACAGAAATTTAAAGAGGTTTACTTCATCTCTACTTCACCTACAGTATTAAAATAATGAAATCAATTGCTTTTTCAGTACACTATATACAGTTAACTGTAATAATAGTAATGATTAAAGTGAGGTGAACAGATGAAAAACTATCTCAATAGAAAAAGTTTTCCTTTGGAAACATAATTTGCAATTTAAAAAAAAGTATTGCAATAGCACAACCGGAAACATAAAATTCTCATAATATTGAGTCATGACTTGAAGTAACGTGATAATACCGGATCATGGGGCTTCCCACTCCTGTCTGGATATGTTTGAGAACTGGTTTTAGAACACAGTTTCATTTACATATCTTGAGGTGAGAGTGTAGTTCCCTCGCTAACATTTAGCCTAAACTTGGAGCATTATTTAGCCCTCTTACAAACAAGCTTTGCCAACATGGTTGGTACTGATGGATGCCTTAGGTTGTCTAGTTTCAGAGACCATTACCTTTCCACTAGCTTAAAAAGAGCACACCACAGCCTCTTCAAAATAGTAACGGAGTAACTGGGGGGGCAGCAATTGGATAGGGGGCTACTGCTTCCACCACAGAAATTTTAAGAGGTTTACTTCACCTCTTTTTTACTTCACCAGCTTTTTTTAGCCTCGCTACCCTCAACTCTGTCTTCCTCCTCTTTAATCCACCCTCTGCTGTGTCCTGTAACCTGTAGATACATCCTTCCTACAAACATGCATCTATTCTTGTCTTTAATAGCCCACAGGACTCACAAAAAAGGACCTGTCAAGATAATCAACCCTTTTTCCCCTACCTTCTAACAGGCAGAGGTTATTTTCCTCAACATTTTGACCCAGAGCATGCCCGGCAGGATAAACTCAGGTGTGGAGCAGGGTTAAGAAGGCAGCTTCACCTTGAAAGGCCACACTTCAGAGCCCAGGAAACCACAAAAAGCAATTAAAAGTATTGATGGAACTTCAATAGCTCTTAAACAGTGCTGCCAGACACCTCGGGGCAAGTAGCACACTAATCTTTTTTTTTTTTTCCTCATCTCTCTATCGCTCCGTTCTCTCCCCCTCTCTCTCGCTCTTTCTTCACTGAAGCTGGTCCTGATCATTACCAACTGATTGCATGAAAAAAAAAAAAAGAAAAGCATGTGAAATGTATTTACAGCCATGCGAGCCAGGTGGCTAAAGTAAATATAGAGCCAAGACCCTGAGAAGGTGAGTGTGACAATGATAGTCAATAGTTAATCTAATCCCAACTACCTTGTTAGATCCTCTAATTGGTCGAGTATGTTTGAGCATGTAAATGTGTGTAGCGTGTGTGTTCAAAAAACAATTTCAAAATGAGCCGCTAATGTCGTCGCTGCATGTGTGCACCATTTGCTGCACAGACCCCTTAATGGACCTTTTACAGAAACACGCTAAAAGATTGTCTTCCATATTACAAAACAGGAAATTGAAGAGGAGACAGGGAGGGACTGAGACAGTGGCTGCTTATCCTCTGGAGCAGGGCAGTGACATCTAAGAGCGGGTTGTTTACCCGAAGCCTTCCTGCAGTGTTAAGCCAGCTACTCGCTAAATCACTGATTTACGGAGCAAGGCTTCCTCGGCTGATGTCTAAATTTACGGCTTGGATTGCTGTTCACCGTGACAACACGTAGTCTTGAGAGTGATAGCTGGTGCACTAAAACAAGGTGGGTGTACAAGACAGACAAAGTAATGACTTACCTTTGCACTGGTTGGTGTTCTTATCCAGAATGGCCTTGGTTGACACTATTTTTCCATACCTGTAAAGACAGAGAAATGAAATTGAGTGGTTTTGACCTACAGACCTTTGACTGGTGGGGCAGTTCACTAAAATTGCCATCCCCTGGTTAAAGTAGATGTCTTATTCTCCATACTCTCTGCCATTTAGTTGCAACTAGCAATTTGCAAAGTCGCACAAATGTCAAAAGCCATTGGAAAGAGAAATCACTTAAGGTTAATAACATTATGTGTATGGCTGACTTCAAATGAATGTGCAGCCCTCTGACATTTGAGCAAGTCACTGAACATTTTCAAAAGGTCTGAAAGCATACGAGCACAGTGAACGATCTTAAAAGTGAAGTTGTTACATTAGTATACAGAACAACATAATAAATTCTGATTAATTCTTTTCACATATGAAAACTAGCATGAAGAAAAGGCTTGGTCTCTCAATAGGAAGATATAATTTGCATTTGTTCTATTGCAATATTTTCTAGTTTAAAAACTTTTGAAACAGTGTGGAAATACTTTTGATAACCCAACATCTCATGGCTATTACTTAGTACTTTAAAAAGTGAACATATTATGTATGTTTTTTTGCATTTTGGCAACTTCCATAAATACAACAAACAGCAAGCATGACATTTACAATACAGTCTATTAAGTATATGTGATTTTTTGTTGAATTTTTTGTGATTGACATTCTTTTGATTAATATAATTACCATGCATTTGGATAATTCTTGTTTACACAATGAAATATTTAGGCCTAATACAAAGTTCATTAAACTTTCTATGATATTATACAATTAATCTATCGTTTGGCATTCAAACTTCCTATTGTATAACATGTAACCATTTGGTTCATTCTTGAATCCTGTATTTTTTCCTATTTGAATCAGTTTGATTCAGCCCTATACATGGAAGTATTCTTTCTAATGGCGTGTATCTACATGTATGAATTTTGTTTTTTGGTATCTGTAAACACAGATTATTATTAAGTCCACACCCTAAGTTACTGTGGCTAGACTGGACAAGCTTTTTGAATGTTGATCTTTAAGAAGGCCAGAGAGACGAAACCTCATCATCAAAATAAGAGATCGGACAAGCTTGACAAAAAGAAACATGGCAACGCTGGTTTAGTTTAACGTCAGCCAGATGCTGTTTCAAGAAGCCGACACCAAAGGCTACCGTATGCAATTGAAGGATATATTCTTTTTTCAACAAAGCAAAAAGGCAATTTGAGACCAAGTGATTCTGGTCTCAAAGACAAAGTCAGAAGTCACAAATTTTTTTGCATAACAGAGACTAAGGATGACAAGGCTATCGGTCAAAACTGCTCCTGCGCTTTCGGATAGCAAGTCAGCGAAGGCATGACCCGCCCTACTCTGCCTCTGATTGGCTTACCTTGACATTCTTACCCTAACCCTGGCCAATGTCACTCCTCAAGTCCAATCCGAACCAACTGAAACAACAAAGACAACGAGAACTAGCCAATCAGCAGGAGAGTGGGGCGAGTCATGCCTACGCCATCTTAGGATAACAAATTAGCTGCCCAGTATGTGTTCCCCATTCCCCTTCTAGGGATCGGTAATTTACTCTATCTATGTTTTTACCTCTGACTACAGACCATGGTGCTGACCTTGTCTCTCTTTAGTGTACAAAGTTATTTTGAGGGAGCACGTAACTCTACAAAGATAATACAAACAAAGGCACGTTAGCTTTGATCTTTTCTGGCTGACAATAATTCACATCATCTTAGAAATATATCAGCAACCAAACTAGCTGTCCTTTCAAAATCTCTTTAATGTTACCTTAGAAGTAAGGAAGAAACAAAGCTGAGTGACGCTGTTCATGTGACATGAGGCTAAATCTGCTTGCGGGAGTGTTAGCTAGCGTATTGCTTACATTAGGTGACTTAAGACACGGCAATGTAATGTGTCTGGGAAGACTGTGAGAGTCCCCTAGCCACATTGTTTAGCCATCTTCACAATTATTTCCAACATAGATAAACCTAGCACATACCGAAGTCTGACAGAAAAAGGAAAAGTTGATCAAGGTTCTGGTGGGTACCAAGTTTGCTCAACTGTTATTGGAGCACAATGCAAAAAGGGTAAAGACTTAGAAGAGTTAAAGACTTAGGAGAGCTCATTAGAGATGCTACTGGTGCCCTCCTAATGGCGTTTTCTTTTCCCCCCTGGGCTATGTTTCTATACATTGGTGCTGTTTTTTTCTCTCATATAGCCCATTTATACATATAACCTTTTCATCAGAAGCATGTGTAAGATGTAGTATTATTCTCTGTGAGACCCAACACAAAAGCTGAAATCGTCCACAAAAGTCCACCTTTCTTATTATGTTACTGGTGTAGCTCCCTGCAATACTGTAAGGTATTAAATCTCTTTATTCCACAGCTCTGCATGCACAGTGGGTTGCTATGATTTTTTTTTGGAATTGAAAGATTGACCTTACTGACTGACTGACAGTGAGTTATTCTATCTGCTTGTCTCAGCTAAAATTGCAACATTCTGCATTGTGTGCAGGGCGAGAAGCACTGTAAGTACAGTATGTGTGTGTGTGTGTGTGTGTGTGTGTGTGTGTGTGCCAATCTGCACGTGTACATATTCTGCGTGTAGGTGTGTATGTGTGAGTGTGTGTGTGCAGGCACGACCTTGCTTGAACAATTACACTTGTGTGTGTGTGTGATGCATACATGTTTGTGTATAAATACATAAGTGAGAACAATTCCCTGTGTGTTACGCACACATCACAATGAGTGAGCAGTTTGTCGTACACACACACACACACACACACACACACACACATTCTGTAGGGAAGAAGCAGTGGTGCATCCCGGCCCATATTTCACCAGCAGGGGATAATTGTGCCATTTCTCAACGAGTGGCGGAGACTCTATTTACTGCATGCTGCGGTGGGGTGGGTGGTGGATATGAACTGATGAGCTCCGAGAGGAAAACTACCAGCTCACACACACAAATACAGATACCGCGTGAGTACACACACGCACACACAAATATGCACACACAGAGACAGCAGTCACCAATCAGCGGATTGTCTCTCTTCAGCAGATAAACAGGCCATTTTAACTATAGGGATCCATAATCTACTGCAACAGAACATGACTAACTTGCAACATTTGATCACATTGAGACACTCTCAAGCGTAAGTACACAAGATGAGCATGGAACAGTGAGCGCTCATTTGATTAGAGAACATGCAGAGCTGGGTTAGCAACTGCAGTATTTTAGTGTTTGATGAGAAACAATCTGGGGAGGAACAAGGAGTAAGGACTGGTGATAAGGGAGAATATTCAAGGATGGTATGTGAAATTTTATATATTGTATATTGTGATTTAACTTAGATTTGGTGATTAATAAAATACACCAGGCAGGAATTAGAAAAGGACAATACGGACAAACTCAAAATACGGGAAAAAAAGTCCAGATAAAATGGGGACTGAACATTGTTCCGATGGCCCAAAAATTAGTCTGAAAAAATATCTCATTGGATTGAAAGACCTTTTCTCCTTCAGACTGTTATCCCAAAAACATACACTCAAACAGCTGCTCTGAAGCCCTGTTTCTCTGAAAAATGCACACTCCCTACAGTTAGACAACCCAATCGCAAGAAAGAGTGTTTGTTTTGTATGTTTCTGTAAACCATGGATTCATTGCATTCGTCATCAGTGCTGTGGTGAATGTGTGGTTAGGTGTAGGCATTCAAACCACTTGGTTATGGTTTGGAAAAGATCATATTTTGGCTCAAAATACCCATGTCTGGTGACACAAAGTCGCTTGAAACACAGGGATGGCTCAGTGAAAAACACCCAGGTTCAGGGCGTCAAACTCAAACTGAAGGGTCAACAAAAAGACCTGAGATCAGTGGCTCAAAGGCAGCTGAGAAACACCACAAAGGGTTGGTAAAAACACAGTGATTGGTGGCTCAAATGCCACTGGAAAACTGAAAGTAACTGCAGAGAGTGTGTATTTTCTAAGAAATGGAACTTTGAAGCAATGTATGTTTGTTTTGGGGATAGCAGGCTGTCGGAAAACAGGCTTTCGTTTCAAGGGGGCAGTACTGAGTCGTATTTCCATGTACAACAGGATATGCATTTAGGACATGTAATAATGTCATATAATAATGAATTTGATTTGACAGGTAAGACAGTAGTATCTGTCTGACAGAGAGAGACAAAGCCCACCGTATGCTCGATGTAGTTGCTTAGGCAGTCCACTGTACATAATCTGGAGCTGTCTCTCGTAACACCTTTTTCAAAGTGAATAAATTCTAGGCTTGTAACCACAATATTTTGGGAAAACAGAACATACGGTTTGAGATGGTGAATGCCCAAAGACACACTGATGTACCATGCTGTTACTAGCTAACTTACGGTTGAAATTGGTACTAGCTTACGTGAGCAAACATCATATTTTGCTTTACAGGAGGAAAACATGATGGTTTTTTTTGGTATGTATTGTCATATGGGTGCACAATACAGCTTGGGATGTTATCTGAAAGGGTTAAAAAGGCACTTCATCTTGACTTTAAAATAAATGCCTCAATGATCAATATACAATATAAAAATGAATAGTAATGTAAATATGACAACCACTTCTCTTTTAACTGAGCTAGAACACTCAAATAGGGTCAGAAAAGTGTATAAATTAACTATAAAACAACCTTAAACACCTTGAAACGATAAGATTTTAGAAATATGTCAACAATATAATCAAATCAGAGATTATATTGAATCTTATATCACAATATTGATTTCTTGCCAAGCTTTACTTGCAAGTCACTGAGCTAGCTGTTGTGTTTGTTCCTGCATGCGTGTCTGTTTATTTGAACACAGGTGTCCCCCCTTGCTTCAGTACTTAAGTGAAAAAATTTGTATGCTTTCAGTCTGGGAAGCAGTTAAAAAGCTCAGTGCTTTTGGCACAAATTGGGGGAAAAGTTCTCATTAAAACTTTGTTTGGACTCTGGGGAAGCAGGAGACAGTAGCTTTCCAATGCCAACTCATC